CTCCTGGTGCGTTCTCTTGTTCATAGAACTGATCTTGCGTCGACAGAGAGCGCAGTCCAAACGGCGACCAAAGCTGCGCTGGGTCCGTCATCTGCCTCAGCAATGCAAGCAGCTTCGGCGACTCAGGCGGCAGTACCTTAAGGAGAAGCGGGAACACGCTGACGTAGCCGACATGCTTCACATGCTGCAGCTTCGTCGTGCGCGGAACAAACACAGGCAACATCTGCAGTCCACCACGGCCGTCACCTAGCGGGAACATGAAGTTCGGATGGCTATCCGGGCACTTGACTTGCTTAGTCTCAATCTGCGCAATAGGAGCCGTGGTGTCGACAACTTGGCCCTGTTCATTACGGCAACGCACAGCAACCTGGTACTCAATCACGCCATCTTCACTGTGTTCGCCCACATCAAAGTACGACTGCGCTTCCTCATTCCAGTGGTGCTCGTCCAGTCCAGAGAGAAAGTGAGCACTGTTACTTTCAAAGAGCTGGACGTCAGCATCTCGGTCGATAAAGTCTGCAAGTTTGGCCATAACATTACTCGAGCGGATCATCCACGAGAGCAAGTCCACGTGCATTTCATTCTCACTCGGACGCGACGCTCGAGGGTAGTCATCTAGACCTGATGACAACGTGTTGGAGATCAGCTTGCCGTCATTTGGGAGGCGGCCTCGCCAGCGGAAACTCGCGTCGTGTGGACCATACTGCGTCTTCAGGAACCAGCTGTACCAACGCTTCAGGAACGGGAAAACGGTACGCACAAACGCCTTCAGGTCTTCGTCCGAGTCTGCAGCCTTGTGCCACTGCATCATTTTCTCTAAAGCCAGCAGCAAAGTGGGAGGATTGGCGTGTTCCACATGCTGTACGAGGAATTCTCTGGGCACACGACGACGCGCATCTTGGCCCAAGATCTGCTCACGAGCGATGTAGCCATCTTCTTCCATCAAGCCAAGCCAGTGAGCGATCACATCACGCGTAATTGTGTCGTCGAACGCTGAGATGCCGATCTGGTGGAAACCTTCGTCCCACACGAAGCCACGAGGGAAGAAAGAGCGCGATGGGACCGCTGTGAACAGAGACTTGGCAGGAGACTCGACAACGTCGGGCTTCTCCGGGTCATGCTGCACCAATGAGCTGCCGTAGAAGTAGCCAGTGCCTCCAACTAAGTTGCTGAAAGCTGC